GGGCTAGCCCGAGGCGGCCGCGCCGCCGGCGTCTGGAGGAACGGGGGTGAGGCCTTCCTACCCTTTAGGACGCACATCCTAGAGGGTTCCTCTCGGCTCTTGTCAATTTGGAAGCGAAGACAAGAGGAGAGGAGAGGAGCGGAGAGGAGAGGGAGGAGGAGGGGGACGCGAGGAAAGCTGGTGCTGGGAATCCGATAAGAGAAAACGGCTCGCCGTTTCTCACCCGCTACTTCGATTGCGGGAATTGATGGAGAGGCCTCAGGCGCGAGAAAAAATAAGAAATAATAATAATGAACATCCATCGGATGAAAACACTTGCCAGGCTTTCGGGGGGGGAGGGGGAGGGAGAAGGTATCGTTTGTCGATCGAGGGGTGAACGAGCTCCTGACTTCATGACCTGACGAACGATACGCGTCGTTTCTTTTCAAGCAGGAGTTGATCAAGAATGGGGGGGGGGGGGGGGGGCTCGATAAGACGCGCTGGGGTGCTGTCTGCCAGCAACGCGACACGTCAGCGCAAGGAGAATCCGTGATGCCAACCGCATCCTGCTTGTAGATCGAAACCATTCGACTTGATGTTTTTTTCACACGGGAAAAGCATCAACTTAGGCTTTCTGGTGGACGCTCGCGCCGCGTATCTCGAAGTAGGATTTGGGTAGGATTGATAAATGAGATGTGTGCGTACGCAACGTGATCGGGGAAGGAGGGAGGAGTGCTTGCCATTCACATGAAGCTCCTCTTTACAGCCCTCACCGCATCTATCTCGAGGATTGTAGACGTTCTAACGAGGCCGGATTTGGCCAGTAGTAGGGTGGCACAGGACGATCATCGATGATCACGTACTTTCGAGATATCAATTTTTGTGGCAATAACCATTTTGGTGATTAGGTATAGTCATTTTTTTCTTTTTAATGATAATAGGCTGCGCTACTACACCGGATTCACGTACACCGCTAACAAGTTCGTTATGAAAGTAAAGGAGTGATAGTTGAAGAAGCCCGTGATGGGCGGCAGCGTTCTCCCTTTCCCGAAGCAGCGCTAAACACCGTGGAGGGCTCTTTCGTTGAATCACAGAAATGGAATAAATCGCTTTGCTTGCGAGCCAATTCCAATGAGGGGTTCGCGGAATGCCGCGGCGAAGAAAATCCACCACGTGGCAAATGATTCTGATAAGGCTCCTTTAACTTCTCAGGAGCTCCATCCTTGAGGGGGGGATATTTTACTAATTAAATGAGATGGAAAGCAAGGTACTCTATGAGCGGCCTCCCATGACAAGCCTCGCACGGGTAAGGTTAACCGAAATCATGAAAGTTAAAAACAGCTTCGCTGAATGCCGCACTAAATGCCCTGGTGCCATGCCTATAAGAGGGCTAATAGCAATCTATAGGAGGTGTGGGTAGACAGTGGGCGGGGGTCTACGTCCTGCTGCTTGATATTGCTAAGTAAATAGTACAAGCCAGATGGGGAAAAAAATGAAGCGGAAAAAAGGGGGTTCACCGGGAGTGTGTGTGAGGGAAGTGAAATACTCCAAAAGAAGGCCAATCACTGCTTCCTCCAGAACGGGCATAATTTTTTTTCGTCTTTTATTATACATACCAAGCTTGCGTCTTTGTTTCTACTCCTTGGTGGATTCCATTTTGAGCGTGTTTTCATCTCAAAAAGCTGGAGGGTGTGTGGTTGAGGTGTCGGGTGCGTTGTGCGCGATATCAGCATCGTGCTAAGGCCGATATCACCACCACCAATTAACTTACATTTTGGTGTGGATTTACTCTTTTGGATAGCCTCATGAGCTGTTTTCGGTAATACATGTAACGGGTATGAAACGTGCTATTCTATGGTAATATAAGTAAGAATTTATCCTACCAAGTGTTACCACTCATTATCATATTATCGAGTTTTTTTCGAGGTTCACTGGTCAACACATATATCCATATATATATAGATATATATCTATATGTATATATTTGACATTTTATGACTTGCTTATTTCCTTAAATTCACAGACATTGATGCATTTTATTTCATAAAACTCTCTTCTGCAATCATTGCCTTATTCATTCAAACGGGTTATCAAAGTCTTTCTTAGGATTCCCATCTGCCAACCTTCGGTAGTGGTTGTTCTTGGTTGATTTGTCTCGACACATTCGGGAAAAAAGAGCCAAGAAGAATACAGGTACACAAAGGGGGACTATAAAGTGTGTTACTGCTTTTGTTTTTTCGTGGTGTGTGTTATCTTACCCAGCCATTTCTGCGTGTTTTCAGCCTTCTTCGCTGCAATTAGTGCACGAGGGGAAGTATTTGGGAATTTTCTTACGCGACTACCCTTTCCACGATTCCTGTTCTCCTGTACTTGAATGCCCAATATCCCTGTTCTGCTAGAAATTGGTGCCGAGGCCTATGCTTACCAGGATCAAGTTGACGAAGTCAAAAATCGCTTGAATATCAAGCATAAATACTTTGACTGCTGGATTTATGGTTTCTTATCCAGCAAAAATTTTAAAATTGACGAGGCGGTGAAAAAGCTCGATCGACGCAAGAAGTTCGAGCGATTGCACCTCGGCACGCTGGAGATCACGGATTGGATGATGCACAATCTGCAACGCGGTGGGATTCAGGTCATCGGCATTAACAAGGAGGGCTGCTTGACGTGCTACGTGGTTCCTTCGCGTCTAAATCTGAGAAGTTCGAGGCGGGATGAGTTCATGCGGATCTTTGACATATGCCTCTGCTACGCTACTCACCTCCGCCCGGAGAGTAAGCGCTGCCAGATTTCCTTGATTGTCGACTGCATGGAGTTAAGATTATACCAGAATGTCGATATACCGTTTTACGTAAATATCTTGCAGCACATCTACAAGTTCTATCCCGGTTCCATAGCTGAAATATATTTTTGCGGGATGAGCTTTATTTTTGAGATGTTAACGAAGGCGTTTTTCATACATTTGCTAAATATTGTCTCCGACCGTGTAATTATTCTATCCAAACACGACATTACGCGGGGAAAGATGCTGGAAATCTACGACGCGGCGATCCTTCCGGAAGGATTGGGAGGAACCAATAATTGTATGATGGAGGAAAGTTACATAAACTTTGCCTATACGCTTAAGATTTTTTTCGAGGGCCTTCAGAGTGCTATAAAGAGAGGGTATGGCGTGAAGGAGTGGGAGCTGATTACCCTTTACGGGAACAACTATGGTGATAATAGCCTAACGTTTGATCATATTATGTCTGAGTTCATTAGGGTTGACGTGGCAACCCCATGTTTCTTCGGTATCAACGAGCGCGAGCATGGATCCATTTTCAACGCGTCTTTCAGCTCTTCCAGCGTTGTCGGCTATAACGTCAATAGCGAAGACTGCCGGAGTTGCTGCTCGTACGATCCGAGTTTGTCTGGTGTCAATTATTCTTCACCAACGCTTGAGATGGTACGCATTCAGACGTACTCTCGATTTCTTTTCGAGAATTATTTAAACCAGTTTATTTCGATCGAAAGGTTATTTCGAACCCATATGTTGGAGCTGCACGGTCGAGAATGGGCGCAGATCCTGCAGCGCGAGATCAAGGAGCGCCACCGCATCCAGGATTCTGAGAGAACCTTTAAGGACGAAGCTTTGTTTCGCCAAATGACCCCGACTTTTTCCCTTTTGACGAGGGGACTATTGAATCTGTGCTTTATGAGCTTAGTGTTTTATTTTCTCCTCGCAACTTTTATTATCACCGCGGTGGGGTCATCGTTGCTTCTCCGCATTTTTTTAACCGCGCGCACCAGTATAAAATCGGCTCTTCTCTACAGCCTGATGTTTCTTGGAAACGCCGTGCAGTTAACTATGTGCTGCTCGCGTGGATTCGACCTCGCTCGGGGCGCGCGCGATGGTAGGTTCATTCGGGCCTTTACCTTCTTCAGGAATAGGTTCCTGACTTTCCAAATCATCGTTTGCGTGTGCTTCATCGTCGATTGCATTGTCGTCTTCTGTGCTATCTCGTATAACAGTGGGGTATTACTTGGGATCCAGTATACTACTGCGATAGGATGGATCGTGGCGATCATATTGATATTTTTCCACCATTTTATGTATGTGTTTGAGGTTAAGATGCTAAATAATCCTCCTCATGCGTCGTATAATCGCCTAAAGTACGTAAACGTCTTGCCGTGCCTTTTTATGACTATCGACATCGACGATGATGGAAAGTGTTACCCTCACACTATGGTGACCATTGTGTTGATGATTGTCTTAATCGTGAATTTGTTTTCAGGTTTCAATTTCATTGTTTCTGGGGGGGTAATATCAATGTGTATCTTCTCCGTGTCGCTCTCGGTGTTCACTCTTTTATATTTTACACTCACACTTTCCAGCAATATTAATCTATTCAGCAGTCTATCCATCGCCGCGTCCTTCTATGCGTGTATTTTTTGGATGAGCACACCCTACCTCATGAGGGATTGGATACAGGCTGGGGACCACAGTAGTTTGGCCATATTCAGTTCTCTCCTCGTCTTTTTTATCATAACATCGGCGTTTTTAAACGTCCATGTACCACTATATTCCAGGCTCGGGTTTGTATTTTTCTTCTGCCTTTTTTTAATATATATTTTTCTTTTTTGTGCATTCGCGATTGTTTTGTATCTGTACAATTATCGTGCGGCGATCTTTCTGGAACCTTCCATAGCTTATATCTTCTTTACGCTTATTCGCACCACTCCCGCCACTAACAACTATGGCATCATCTTGATGATCACAACCTTCACACTGGTGCTGCTGATTTGTTGCATCACCGCAGAGCGGGATTTAACAGAGCTTTACAATTACTCGTTGAATAGTATGCCGGAACGGAATTACCTTGACGGGTTTTCGTTCCCGTCAACCTATTTGCCTAACTATAACACCCCAGCCCAGGTCAGCCCTCAGAAGGCGGTCGGCTCCACGCTTCTGCCTGTCTGTCTCACGCGGTTTCCGACGGACGATCTCTCGGTTGTGAGTATGGCGTTTTTTCTTAAGCTAGGCTTCAACCTCGACGCTGTATCCCAGTTAAGGGATCTGAGGAAGTGGTTTCCTGATTTCCATCGTGTTCGGTCGTTCAGCGTCGACGAAAAAGGCCCTTGGGAGACCTTAGCCTTCCGGCGGGAGGCGCCTGCGTACAACACAACCGTCATCGCGGTGCGCATCACCTCGGATCGCCTGAGATTGATCGAGTCGATTGTCTTTTGCGTTAACGACTACATCCTATCATTTTTTAGTTTCGCCATGCCTGAAACGATACTATCGCACGTCCGTTTTTTTCTTTATTTCTTTGAAAAAATATTGCCACTCTCGGTGAAGGAACCCGCGGAGTCGTTGGCTAATCATCTGAATAACTACTTGGAAAGCCTCAACGGGACGGGGGAGTATGTATATGTCGTAGCGCGAGGACCTGTTGGTGCAATGGTGATAATGGACACCCTACAAAACAAACAAATGAACGCAGTGCTGTTTTCTCCACCACAAATTAGTGAGCTGGGGAGGAAAATGCGCACTGGATTGCATACTTTCCTTCACCGCATTATTTCTATTAAAACGAGCGGTAGTCTTTTCTTTTCGTGGTTCTCAGATGACCCACTCTCACAGACAATTCCTTGCACGAATGCCCACGGAATGTGTGAGAGTATTGATAACAGCATCCGAGAGCTCAGTAGCCTTTGTGATACATCTATTAAATAAAGGGCTTATTGGGGGACAGGTTTATAAAAAAATTGTTTTATTATCAGTATTTTTTATTATTATTGTTTTTCCATTTAGTTTTATGATATATGATCGAATCTATTCCAAGACTTAAAGGCTGTGTTAGCATTTTTCCCCCTCTATGCCCACTTTTATGTTTCTCTTACACTTCTTCACTCTTTTCACTTGTAAAGAAACCACAGGTTAATTCTCTCCGATTATTTCACTTAGTAGTGTATACTTTTTTTCTCGTATTCTCCACTGTATAAATCCATTTTCATATACATTTGCGATGTGCTAAAATTTAGATCCCTTGCTTAGGTGAAACCCAAATATCAGTAGCAAATCTTTTCGTGATTGATGCGAACTCTTCTGTCGACGGAGTTATGTTACGATGAGCTTTTTTTATCGATCTTGTGTTGATGCTACTCTAGTTGTGTTTTATTATTCCTTCGGATCTTTTTCTTCAAGGAAAATCATAGGTTTTTATTCAATTGAAAGGATACCAACGCAACGAAAGACCAGCAGCCCCCGTGCCTATCCCCTGGCACAGCTACTCCTGAATCCCTTGTCGGTATCTGTGAGCTCCAATCCGACGTCCTTTTCGATGACAAGAAGAGCAGTGGTAGGAGTAGTGCCAGGCGGAAAAGCTTCGCGTCGCGCAAAGGTTCCCTAGACGGCCTCGCCTTCCCCAGTGTCGAGACCCTCTACAACGGGCTCACCTCGCTCACCCTCGAGCTTGAGGGGATGCGTTGCCACTCACGGGCGCGACGCTCCTCCGCGGCGGCCACGCCCACCCGCACCGGATCGCTCGGCCCTGCCCCTGCCCCTGCCCCTGCCCCTGCTCCTGCCCCTGCCCCTCCT